TAAATCAAAGTGATGGATACCATGAACTCCCCTCGGACCCTAAGCGTGACCATACTCTCGTCGATCCCACCTTTTGCGGAATATTCCGGCATTTCATGGCGAGCAGACCAGGCAAGGCAGGTGTGGTTAGTGTAAATGCCCCTGTTTCTTACCTGCAGTAATGATGGTGTCCTGGCTAAGAAAAATGAGATTTCGGAAGACCTAATGCAGATATCCAAACGGCCACGTTCATCTTTGGGTTTGAGTGCGAACCCGCCGCTATTGGAGCTCCTCCAGACTTTGCTCTTGAAGTAGTCGCTGACTGACATTTTTTACCATTTCCCAAAGTCCCAAAGATTGTTGAAGACGTTTACTGTAGTCTTTGAGCAGCTGATGGTGGCAGCTAAATATCGCACTCTTCAATATGGATGCTGTTCTACCACTTCATCGCAGTAGGTCGTCCACAGCAAAGCTCAACTTCGAGTTTCTTGTTCCCAGTTTACAAGAGTTGGAACAATGAGCGCACTGAGCATACAGAAGGGGCTCCAGGGATGCACGATCGACATAAGTCTAGAGGAGCTCCGATAGCGGCGTGTTCGCACTCAAACCCAAAGATGAACGTGCCGAAAATGGGTAGACAGGGTTTGGTCTTTAAATGGGCAAACATGCAAGGAAGAGGCGGCCAGGTCGTTGTGCGTATACGCGTGTTTAATACCCTTGCACAAGAACCCTATGGGAGCTTTCAGAAGTTTTTAAGAGAAAAACTAGGAATGATGCGAAATTTTCGGTTGAAAATTTCGCATCATTCCTAGTTTTTCTCTTAAAAACTTCTGAAAGCTCCGTTCTTGACGCGAAAATCTTGAATAAAGACGAGACTCTTCGCTCCTTCTTCTTCCACTTATAGGATGCAGTCGTTCACCGAGTGAAGCCCCACCTAGAAATTTTTTTTGGAGGGTGAGCAAACAATGTGGAGGGGAATTGAAGTCATCTGTACCTGAATGAATGTGGGAGACCCTGAGCGTTTCATATTTCTTCCAAATAGTGGTTGTTGCCATAGTTGTCGATAGTGTTTTCATGACTTCGTTGAGTGAAAAGGTAGGCAGATACGGGGCCCGTCGCCTCTCCTACATATTTCATGTTGAGGGCTCTTTCAAGTGGGATCGAATGCTCTGCCAAGGTACAAAATCAGAACCTGGCTTTTCAGTTCTACAAAGGAATCTCGATGGATGAAGGAGTATTCGTCGGAGGAGCTCCCTCACGAATCGAGGCACTGGAAAGCAAAGTTGGCACTGCGAACGGATTTCATGGCTGCGTGAGGAAGGTGAACTTCTGCAAGCCGTTGCACTGATTACGTGCTTTCACTGTTCCTTTCTAATGCAAGTCTTTTAGCTCATTATCAATAACGACGTCCTCCTCGATACTGAGAATGAAGTGAACACTGCAGTGAACCTTCAAGATTTAGGTGTGATTGCATTTTCGAACAAATCAAATTCTGTGGCGTCACTCAGTGACTGTCTAATACTTTTTGTTCAGAGTCGTTTTTTTTGACTGCTCTGCCACCACAATCATGTCATGCTTCTGAATCAGTTAAAGCAATTTGCTGAGATCTTCACAATTTCAGAATACTGCAATCCAATTACTCAGACCCAGACTGCTCCACAGCCAAAAATTCGAGAGATCGACTTATCAACTGGACAACTCTATCAGCATAGTTCGCAAAGCAGAAATGCACTCTGTAAGTGACATCCTGTTTATGGTATACCAAATTGAACCACCCATCACGGGCTCTTTCTTCCCCATTCAACAAGGTGCTTCGGGGGGCGTGGCGTGGCCGTTTCCTCGCAGCTCTCGTTCTCCCTCAAATGTCGTGAGATGTGGCGGGTGATCAGCATCCTCATACTGCTGGTCATTCCCAGTCTTCAAACTCTACCGTATGACTACTACAGGATGTTCCTTGAACGGCTCGTATCTGAGCGTGTTTTAGCCGAAGTGAATGGGATTCAGCCATCTACGACAACCCGTGTCGCTACTACTGCCAAGCCAACAACTGTTACTCATGCTACTTCGAAGGCGCACTTTGGTGAGTTCCTGCTCCAATATACGGATGGATAGGCTCCTAGCGCCTAATAGTGCTGGCAATTGGAGCTCAAACAACTTAGAAGGGGGGTTTCACTGTCCCTTTAGCTCGAGGATTAGTGAGAATTCTGCTGTTTGTTTACTGAGAAAGAAAACAAATGGCATTTCAGCAATTCTCTTGGAATGCCCTTTGTTTCTTTTTTTACACCAACTTAGTAGGGTCTCTTAATGAGAAAGCCTCCTCCAGTACGTCAATAATAGTTTTTCAGGGAACTCAGTAGACACCACGACAGCATCTGTTGATCTGCTGCCGTTGCCGGTGCTAAAAGTGGCCGAGTTTTCCGGAGCATCCCATTTCACTGTGCCAGCTCCCGCAGATATCGTCGATTATCTCGATTTACGGATCAATTTCAAGCCGAATCAACATGCCGGTCTGCTGTTCTATTGGCAAGACATGGGCAGATATTTGGCGGTGTTTATGGAGAGAGGCTACGTCAACGTCCAAGTAACAATGGGTGCCGATACGGCTATACTGAGGCAAGTGAAAACAATTTGCTTTTGGCGACACGTATCGTGTCTGCTGCGGACCCATTTCGAGAGAGAGTATCGCGAAGCAGTAAAGAGAAAGCATTTCCCAGAGATTTGAGCAACTCAACTTCAATTTTGAACCCATCAATTTTGGTTTTTTTGCTGAAACGTCAGGAACGTTCTCCCGTAACGTTGGCAGCTAATTTTCCCCTGAGACAGATGAGGAAGCTCGCCTACTGGAAAAATGTGAGATGCTTTTCGTCGCCCGCTCATTTCACCTTGCACTTGTGATGCTCAAATCTCCAAAGGACTTTGCTGGTAGAGACCTGCGAATAGCTTAGAAATAGAAATCGTGACGTTAAGTATTATGGAGCAATTCGGCTTCCTAATCCTTCCAAAATGATTTTTTTCATTTCTGAATTTGCAGTTGCGAAGGCTTCTTGTTGCATGCTGAAGGCTTTTTGGACAGCATCCCGAGGTGAAGCCCCGAGCTCAAACGAAACTTTCCTCTCTTTTATCTGACTGTCGTTCCTGGAACTATGCGTCTTCGAGCGTATGTAATGCCTGAAGCCTTCCAAGAACAAGTGAATAATGAGAAGTGAAAGAACGGAGCCGAGTCATTTGGAGCGAAATACATTGGTGGAGCTGCAAGGGCTTTGCGAGCGACACCGTTTTTTGCATGCGACTTCATCTTCAGCAAAACTACTGCCTCATATATTTTGACCACAACCAAAATTGTCGGGCTACCCACACGTACGCATTTCCCGTCACATGGATGGAATGGAAATAGTTGAAGTTTTGCAGGGTTCAACGATTTTCGCTATTGAGCGTGTCACTGACTAAAGCAGAAGGGAAACGGGTGCTCAGGAAGAATTTAGGCAAATTCCCGATGTAGGAGAGAGATTGAAGTGGAGAAATCTGTGCTCTTACTCAAACTCCCATCTACTTTCAAAACAAAAGGGGCAGAACGGCTGCCTTCGACCTTCTTATCCTTCCATGAAGGGCACATTCATCAAAAACCCGCGACGTTGTTGTGTTATTTGCGTGTGCAGCTCATCAGCGACGCCGCTTCCCTAAACACCCGTTCCCCAGCGAATTCTCCTTCCCATCACAACAAAAAAAACCACATGTTCTTATGAGAAGCTCATCATGGCTAAGCCTACCGTATCATTCCAGCTGGTTCTCATATCTGCCATAACCCAATTTTCATGTTTATTCGCATTCGAGGCTCATCGCATTCCTCGGAGTTTCCACTGGTGAAGAGGATTATCTTTTATGAAGAGATCAGAATTCTCTTAAACGGAGCTGAACTCTCGGAAGCCTGGATGCTATCTTCAAGGGGAACGGCTATGTCCACCATGCTGTTTCTATTCGAACTTTTGAAAATGTTACGAGGTAACTCAATCAAGTAAGTGACACGAGGGAACTGAGGGCTTCGAGCTTCTGTAAAGAGCTTTGTACCATTGGGATTGATACTCTTGGGATCTCCGGACTCTTCACTGCCTTCCCACTTTGAAAAATTGCCCCACTGAGCAGTTGCCTTATGCATGCAGTGCTTCAGCTGGTCTTTATCCCCAAGATATCTCCTCAAGGCGATGCCATTATTCAAATGGGGCATGGCCTTATTTCTTAAACAAAAGCGAATTCCAATAAATGACTGGCGACGGCTACGTCTCCAGTGCATTCGACGTCCCTGGCTCTACTGCCATAAGTAATAGCATCAATTATCCGCTCGAAAGAAGCTGATTGAGTTTTCTCAGCTTCCAAGGTAAGTCGGGAACCCAATAACTGTCGTCGACACCCTAAGAACTGGCCATAACTGGGGCAATATACTGGGGACATTTTATTGATATAGTATGTACTGAAGAAATGGTCGATTTGAAGCCAATCTCAAGAAGCCTATTACGGACAAGGACATATTCAAGGGTTATAGCCTTCTGGTAATCCCGAGCAGTGTATTTCACAGCATTATAAGTAGGTGCTCGGGGAACGGAAGTTTCTTGGTAATAGCTACAGAGAAGCGACGAGCCTCTAGGAAGTTCGCATTTATGCTAAACGAATAAACGCAATGTCCGAGAAAATGAGTTTTTCATGGCGAATTAACTCTTCGACATGCGAGGTGTTTGCCACTAACAACGAGTCGTTGGATCCTTGGGCATTTGGTATCCTCAATATTTCAACGGAGACTCTAGCTCCGGGGCTTCGGTGGGGACTCGATTTTTTGACCCAACGTATACTTCTGATCTCACTTCATCTGATTCTCGTCTACTCCGTTTCATCAATGATTCACATCAAGGAGCATTCACCTTATTGCTTTGAGTCCAATCTTCAAGGATTCTTGACCTCCAAAACTGGGAATTTCGGTTGCCAAGGAGGGCAGCCCCTTCTCAAATGCAAATGTTAGGCACTGTTCGGTATTCAGTAGAAGATTGGGGAAGTTCTGAAATGTTGTACACCAAATGTGTAACCTTTTTATTCGGCCAACCAAGTGGAAGAATTCCCACGCGGAGCTCATCCGGAGGGGTTCTGTAAACAATGAATGCGAAATTATTGCACTAAGCCTGCCATCTCCAAAAAAACTTTTTGTAAATTAATAGAAATTTTCGGCAATCAATACAAAAAACGATGAAAGACTAGGGATGAACCCAAAAACTCGTTCCCTTAGGTGGTATAGTGGTATAGTTTAGATAGAACTAGTTTTACTCACATTCGTTAAAGAATTTTTCAGAAAGATGGTAGACGGTTTACCTTTTCTCCCACCCGCTCCAAGTTTTTTGTAATTCATCGTCAAATGACTGCTGCTGCTTAGGTTTCTACTTCGTTTCCTACCAACTACCAAAGCCACCCATCACAATTGCAAACATTTGGCGAAATCCCATAAGTTGTTTGTTCCGAAGCATGTCTTTCCGTAAACAAATGGTCAATCATTCGTGTTCCATTTGTGTGTTGTTGTCAGTGGGTATTCAATTCAAACAGATAGATCCTGATACCGCTTAGGGTTCCCTAACATTCATTTTCAATTGCTATGCCCACAGACACGCTCAAATTGGGTTCGGCTCTATTTGGAGGGAACAGAAGCACTGGGCTTGGTACAGCTGGAATTTTCAGATTGTAGGGGATGTGGGAGCGTTGCTGCTTATATGTAGGTGGCGCATATCTCCTGAAAAGCTAGTTACTAGTAGAATGAAACATGTTCGGAAGGTTTTGTTGAAGATAAAGATGTAGAGCTGATGGAGTTGGAGTCAATCTGTCACCATGTTGCATCTCTAGAAAACTGCCTTTACATTGCTTATGATCCATCTGCAGGTACAGACCGACCTGGTTTGGCTGTCCTCCAGTTCGGTCTATACTGACAGATTAATCATGAAGCAATATAAAGACAGTGACAAAATCGCTGGCTGTCAGTATAGGCCTCTTACTGTAACCGCTTACTTTCACAAATTGTTTCCCCTCATTCTACCACCCTTTAAAGGGATTTTTCCTCTCACTCAGGGGTTCCAGGAACTCTTCAATTTTCTTATACGTACCTCAAAAGCAGTAGCTTCCATCTTCAATCACCTGCACTAACTTTCGCTGAACCTAATACCAAAGAAAAACCCTATTGCTCCAACTGTCCATTACTATTAGTCTTTTCTCTCCCACAAGAATGACCATCTGTTTTCAGGTCAGAATCACCGATCACACTGCACCAATGGCACCGCGCAGAAATCTGGAGAACCGGCAAAGGGATACTCATGAAGGTTCATTGTCTCCCACTATCTCGAAAAATCCATTTCCATGCCTTGTTAAGAGAAATTCTACAAATTCAGGTTGATCGTCAGTCATGGGTGGAATCACAGTTAATGTCAATTCGTGGCCCACTCACAGAACCAGGGATGTTGTACATTGGCGGATACGATGGTGACTTACCACCACACGTCGCTATGGTTTCAGGATTTCACGGATGCATGAAAAAGGTGAAGTGAAGCTTCAGGACTCGCAAACGACGCCTCTGTGCTCAGTAGACTAGAAAGACCAAGGAAAATTCTTTTATGAATCCCACTTCCGTTCAGAGAAACATTCAAGCATGATAAAATAATATACCTTTGTTCAACTCTTGAGAACGGTCCAAGCAGTTTCTCATTCTATTTTTTGGGGCTGCTAATAACCAGAAACCTAGGAAACGGGTTCGCGTCATGGAAGCCATAGCATCTAGATAAGCGTGTTAAGATGACGAGGGTGAAAAGTGCGTTCTTGGCAACGAGGCTAAAAATGTAATTCGAGGGCAACGTTCGTGAGAGCATGGGAAGAGAAGTAGCTGATAACTGATGAATAACTCACGCGCTATGGACCTATTCGTGATTTTGGGGCGATTGCCAATCGAAGAAAGGGACCCATCACAAAAAGAATTACCATACCATGACACGTGCTATGCGCTGCTTTGATGTTGCCTCTAACNTGAGCGCTGGCCGCTGGATAACCGTCTTCTGGGATCGTGGAGAAGCGTTAATAATACTTTTCCTGGGGTGTGGTGCGTTAGGAACGAATTGGTCCCGTCGCGGTGAGAGGGGCGTCGCGCGCGAAGGAATGTAGCAGCCGAGCTACAGTAACAACAGCACGTGCAAGAGGCACTCTGTCAGAACTAGGTCGGCAAGCTAGATCGACAAACAAAAGATCGAAGATACTGAAAGCCCTAATGATCTTCCGTAATCCAAGTCCAGACAAAGGGAAAGGACTATTTTCAGGCAGAATTTTGGAAAAGAAAAATTATTCAGTTCGGTACCATGACTTTTTCTTTTAACCCAGGAAGGTGTATTTTATGAAAAGTATCTGGCATTGCTGAAAAAACGAATGAATATGCCAATGCATGAAAAAGTATGTGCAAAGGCGACAATGAAGAGCGTCACTCAAATGTGCCCAACGTCTTCAAGACCAAGGGCTAGCGCGCTCTAACGAAAGGGAGCTCTTAAATTTGATCGCATTGGTGCGAAGAACCTATTCTTATCTAGGAGAATGGATATTTTCGCCTAAACNGGGGGGGGGGAGGGAACCAGAATTGCCAGGAAGTGTAAAACATCGAACACGTGCAAAATTGGAATGAAATGGATTCGTTCGAGAAGCATAGTTCAAATTTTCTGTGGGAGTATCTAGGTGAGAAAGTATTGAAGTGGTCTTGTTCAACTCTTAATACGTTCTTCATCTTTGTCTCGAGGCTGTTAAGAAAGGAAACATTGGGGCATGAACTACATAGAATAGGATGAGGAGGATGGGGCGTCACATCATCCACCGTCAGCCCACCCTATATATTCAGTCATATCAGGATCCTTCATAATCTATACGTTCCAGCTTGGCATAATCTACCGACCCAGTTTCCAGGCTCTAAGAGCTATGGCATGTGTTGACCATACAAGCTAGGAAAGGCTAGTGATCGAATTCCTTGGGAACGACTAGGACAGGAAAAGCGAACCAAAGGCTTCTGCTGAGCGAGTAGATGCGGAATCTAACCATTCGTCCTCAACTCGTTTAATCACTCCCATTAACCTGCACCGTGTTCTCAGATACGCCTCAATGGACGGTCGATCGCTTTTCGGCCCGAACATGGCCAGCACATTCGGGAATGTGGAGCCGATCCGTGTGCAGCTGCCGGCTGTCCCCGCTCCTGCAGTTCTACGAACGACGAATTCGTGTGTTTGTGTGAATGGCCGAAGCATGGAAAGACTTGTGAACAAGGTAAACTTCTTACTACTTCCTTTGCCGAGGGTCGCTTTCAAATCCACTGTCACTTCGTGATTTAGAAACGAAGCGGCTGCTTACGATGCGATTCTCGGGGCACTCATATTTAGAACTCAANCAGCACATTCGGGAATGTGGAGCCGATCCGTGTGCAGCCGCCGGCTGTCCCCGCTCCTGCAGCTCCACAAACGACGAATTTGTGTGCTTGTGTGAATGGCCGAAGCATGGAAAGACTTGTGAACAAGGTAAACTTCTTACCATTTTCTTTGCCGAGGGTCGCTTTCAAATCCACTATCACTTCGTGATTTAGAAACGAAACGGCTGCTTACGATGCGATTCTCGGGGCACTCATATTTAGAACTCAAGAAAGCCGAGCAAATGGATCAGTAAGTTTATAGATCATTTGGGTATAAGAGCGCACCTATTGTTCTGTTTTCAGAGTCACGGGAGATACTCTGAAAATGGAAATTAATGTCAAGTTAAGTAATGCGACGGACACCACATCTCCACTGAGAAGTCAGGTGAGGCAGGCATCGTGAGTTGTATTTGCTTGTGTACATCCAATTGCTCTCGCTTCAGCTGTTGGTGTTTGCTGGTGAAAATGGAGTCACAGCCGATTTCTTCCGACTGCTCATCACTCCGGTGAGAACTGGCTGTATCATTTCGTAGAATTAGCATGTCCGGGAAAAATTAATTGTTCCCTTCAGGATCGGCGCGTGCAGGTGATGATGAATCTTGGCTCAGGATTGGTGACGCTCACCCATCCTACACCACTGATTCCTGGACGTTGGTCTCGTGTCGAGGTTGCGAGGTAGGCACTTCTTTTACTCCAGATGTCTTGATGCACTCATACGGTGTCCGAAAACGATTTGTTGATTGTCGATGCACAATGGTAAATGCTACATACTATATTGAACCAGCCAGAAAAACTCAAACGAAAGTGAAAACACTCTTTCCGTAAGGGCTGACACTGATTCATGATGCGATATTCTATCACTATACTCCTCTGGCTTTGTAGAGCTTCAGGTTCTCCTACAGGTCACTCATGAAAAACAAAAACATGTGCTTTGTCACATTGTCGTAGGTTTAGTCACGGTAGCGCCTCTGATATCCACAATATCGGCTACCGCCACAAATTAGACCCACCTCAATGTCGAAACCCCACTCGAGGAATGAAAAGCCAATCAGGGTGCAGAAGTAGTTTCCCTTCGACTTCATGGTTCACCTAAACTTAAAAACGTAATGATAATTTTTTACCTAGTCTAGGCTTACTAGAGAATTTTCTTGTAGTGAAGAATTGAGTTACTTTCTGCTGGAAACGCCACTTCTCTCGGTCTCAAACAATTGTCTCGTTGCGTCTTTGACTGCTACGTAACTAACGAATTACCTCTAATGATGTATTGCAAAACTATTTTCTGTTCCTGTAACTCAACGCTGAAAAAAGCAGTCGGCGGAAATTCGATTACTATCAGAAGTTAATGGAAATGGCGTTTTCATAGAAGCGGTTACAAAAAATGCTCAACATTAATCTTCGGTAATGAAGTCCCTTACTGTTTTATAAGCTTACAAGTACTGCAACCAAGAATCACTAAGGCGTTCTCGTAGGGGACAATGGGTCTTACCTCAGACCTCTTTGGAAAATAGAAATAGGAATGTAACTTAGAGTTCAAAGTGTTAGTTCCATTGCGCCGAAATCTGTTCACGGTACTGACCTCACTGAGACAACCGAGCTTAGGGTACAAAGTCAAATGTTCCTGACGCCCCTTCGAGGAAGTTTTATGAGCTCCAGCGAGTACTAGGCGAACGAACAGGAAGTTTAAGTTCGTTTTTCTCAGAAAGCCCGCCGACACGGCGTGCTAACTCTTTATTTAAAAAGTGCTGGAACCTAACGAATTCTTCAAATGCTGAAGCACAATATTTGGCCCTTTTTTGAATAAGTGAACAAGCCCTAGCCGTGTCTCGTGACATACCCACGTTTTGAGGTCCTATAACATCAGCCATTTTTTGAATCATATGCTGGGAAGTGCTCTGTAGTACAGTATCGAAGTAGTTGAGCATGGATGTCGCGAGAACGAATTTTTTAAACATTTGTGATACATTTACTAATTCCCAAATTCAAATACAGTAATAATGCCATCTTTGTAACTAGTAATGTCGAAGAAAGAAAGTGCTCCTTGAAGGCATAAACGTCAACTGACGTTATCTATCAACGACGCCACCCCTATCACCACAATGGCACCCGGCGATTCTGAAGAACTCAACGTCTACAAGGGGCTGTTTATCGGTAACGCTCCATTTCCTATTTAATCGTTTTAAGCATTGTCTAAGCCAAACGTAATTGAATCTAGGTGGTATGCCACCCGACTCTCAGCACTTGGACGGGTTCCGCGGCTGCATCGAGTTCGTTCAAATCGGATCGGTAGTCGTCGATCATCCAGAAGAAGCCGCTACTGCCGTCAATATTGAAAATTGTGATCTGTAGAATTTTGTGTGGATTAGTAGAGGATCGAATCGATCGAATTGAGCATCCATGGGTTTTCTTGTTCCTGATCAGAGTATCTTGGAAGTACTGTTAAAACAGATTTGTATATATCAAACATAATTTCACTGGTTGTCAAGTCAAAATGGTTACAATAGTGATAAAAATATTCGTAATATTGGTGTAATATTCTACAATTAAATGGTATCATTACCTAGGAAAAAAAATGTTTGAAACCCCAGTTCATCTCAAAGCGACTCAGCTGTTTCACGTGTCGGTGCTGTGCAGAAGCCCCGCCCACCCGCCTCATTGGTGCGTTGTCTCTTAACGGCTGTGCAACAAATGACAACGAACTGTGCAACTAGAGGAAACTGTGCCATTACTATGTATTGACAAAGTACTCGAAAAGTTCTAATATTGAAAAATTGAAGGAAATTTCTGGGAATTTCTTTGACAGAAATACTAGGCTTGGAACACGTCCTTCGTGTGAAGTGTTCTCGACCATGTACGATCCTCACTAATAGCATTGATAAAGGGAGTACGCGTCCACTCAATTAGTACGGAAATCTGGGGAAGCAGTCTATTCGGCAAATGCCTTTACTTTGACTTTACTTTATTTTGAACGAGGAGTACGATCTAAATCTTGCTAACCTTCATTTATGGAAGCCTGGATGACCACGATATAATGCGGCTGACACATAACAGCAGATGGATTGCATATATCGGAATAAATGAACGACTGCAAAGTTTTTTTTTTCTTGAATTTCTTGTTCCAAACTCACGTATTCCGCTCGCGAAACCCACGTTGCGTTTTTCATTACAGATGTCATGAAACTAGAAAATCTTGTCACAAATTTGTAATATAGGCTTTAGGATCCCGCTGCTCTTCTAGAGAAGCATGAGTCAGTAGTTGTGCAGCAAATCAACGAAGCCACTTGGGGCTTCAACGCGCCCTTCAGCTAGCTAAAATCCGAACAAAAGTCATCAAATAAATATTATACAAATGTGACGATCATTTCTTCTGATCATTCTCCAACTGATAAGCCTGAAAGAAGGATATCCCTAGTAAAAGAACTTTGGGTTCGATATTTTCTCCCCGAACACAACGTTGCGCTTGTCGCACCTGCCGCGTACCGCAGAAATGCGATGGAAGATGGGAGCGCAAAATCTGAGTTAATTAGGAAATCCCAATGCGGTCTTGATTGTCGATAATAAAGAAGGAGTCATTTCGAACAATCAAGTCCAATAAATATGAAGCAAAAAAAAACAGAAAGGAACAATGAAAACCAATCAATAAAGAAAACAGACAACGATGAATGTGGTGGCCCATCGATTGGCCGGCATGCGAGCTGAGTATGGTAGTCGCAGTTTGAAGCCGCGAGGCAACTAAAAACGATTTGCCGCAAGCCACAAAGCGAACGGGTCGGGGAGAAGATCCGCCACTCAAGAACCTTCATTTGCCACAATCGAACTGGCCAAGTGACAGTTAACAACCTGTGCCGATTCGCACGTATTCACGTATGTGTTGCCAAATGAGCGTGATATTAGAGTAGTCGATACTAGTATAAAGCTTCCGTGACGGCTGTTGTGGTGCTCACGGAACCCACGCTGCAATGATATTCATGTTGGTAGCTTGCTGACAACTCTTCTGTGCAACTAGAGTACGTATTGCCTGTGGCTTCTTCACCGGAACACTTTTGAAAAATAATTAGTCACAGATAGGACGCCCTCACGACATGACAACGACGCCCATTATTGCCATCATCAAGAAAACAGCTTTGTGGCAAAACCACAAACAGAGCGTCGTCAAGGCTCCAGAGAGAGGGGCAGTTGACGGATACGGTGAAAAAAGGTGTCTTTTCAAACCTCAGTGAATCTCCGTGAAAGAATGACTAATCAATGCATGAGAAACAAAAAACAAGCAAGAGAGTGATTAAAAAGTTACTACTGTGGGGGCCGTCGGAAAATTACGGTAAAGACCTAATTCACGATGGAAGTTGTTCCAAAGACATTATTTTAGGTATAGTCTGTGACCCACAGGCGTGCCTTATAGGACACCATCCGATCAAAAACCGACCTACATAGATTGGGGGGACAACATCATTGAAATAGTTAGGGATACTTTTAGCTTGGCATACACCAGTTTCCGGTCGGCAGAGAAAACTTCCAAGGGAACGACTCCACTCAAACAACTAACAACCGCAGTGTTTATCGTCGACACAATGCGAGCAAACAAATTTTCTGCAAAACGAACACTTGGAACATACTCATGACACATTTCCTAGCTTCTTCTTCACCTGACTTGGAACATATGCTTTATTGCAGCCCTTTTTTCCGCCCACAACGGTTGAACGTTCTCGGCGTACGATCTCTTTGCTTGCCAGTGTTAGCATTTTCCCTAGTTCCGTATAAAAGCACAGTCCCGAAAGCTGCATCACTTCTTATTCATCGGTCACGCTGACTTCGCCGACTTGATGAGTTCGCACTGCTTGCCTCCCTGCACATTAAAAGAAAGCGACTCGCTGTAAAAGGAATACGGGATAAGTCAAAAGGTTTGTTGCAGGTAGTGCATCGGTTCCTACAATACCAGATTCCGCCTGAATGAGAATGGAGAAAACATCTCCAGTGCAGACCACCACCTGTCTTTATCAAAAACAAGTGCTTCTGATGCGTCGTCATCCGATCCTTCATCATCATAGACAAGGAGGACTTTATTGTAACCCACTGCAGACTCCCCCAACTCTTCGTCACTATCGAACTATAAAGCATTGAAGTTCTGTTTAAGCTCTTGGTGGTTCATAATTTGCGCGTTTTCTGGAAAGGTGGCAGACCATATGAGCTATCACGGCCGGCGCAGTGAAGAAGACGTCTGTTCGTGGGGGGCGCGTTCGCAAAATTTGCGCTTTTTGCAAATGTGTTAAAGAGGCAGCATCCATAACTAATTCATATGCTGAAAATTTACACCGCCAGTTGTGACGGGGTGTGGGAACATTTCTACAATCCCACCCAATCAGCACCCATGCGCGAAATGACCTTAATAAGGTACAAAGACTTTGTGATAATTATGCTGCCTGTGCATCGCTACTAACCTAGTTAAAACTTATCAGTAAGAGTACTGGCAATAAAATGTGGAGTTTCTATAAAAAAGGTCTTTACAGGAATTTCAACATCACTGGTTTCAACAGTTTAATTTCCGTGCATAATAAGTGAATTCAAAACATTTCTGGTAAAACTTCTTGTTGAAGGGGAAAATTTTGGTCTAACTAATATTAATAGTACTATGAAAGTTTTGGTCTTCTGGGAGTAATCAGAAAATATAGACTAGAACCTAAAATTTATACGTAAAAAAGTCGTTAGGGTCAGCTAGTTTTGTTCGTCCAAATCTAGACGTCTTCATGCAAAACTCTAGAATTTCGAGGCGACTTGATCCTTGCTGTTGAAATTAAAGAACCAAAAAATTTAAAAGTTATCTGTGGTCTAAATAAGAGCTTTCTTCACACAGAATATCACACCTTTCCACGTCTGTATACCTTTTCCTCTCCTTGTGATTGTTTCGCGAAGTTGTGGCTCTTCCCAAATCTGCAGAGTATTCTCGATGACATTCCCACCTTGTTCGTTGATTGAAGGTCCCTTTCCGATTCCAAAATCCTTACTTATATAAGGCGTCTAAGTGCAGCTTTTGGCATTTTCGGCATTTTTAACTTCTGCGATTTGCACCCTGACTTCCTGAACTGAGTATCTCAAAAGTAACATGCATTGCGCATTTGAGCACATGGAGCTCTCCAATTCAAGTCTAGATAGCCATGTGATAGTCATTTCTCGTTTTCCTTACGTACCTCTGTCGGAGTTGATGTTGCTGTTCGTCCTGTTTTTGTTAGCTTAAGCTAGTGATGCTGAATGTATTAAATGAATAAATGAATTTCGAAAGATATTTTTTCTGACTATAGTCAGCTGTACACAATGACACAACTGTACAGCTTGTCCGAACACTTCTTCCACGCCATTTTTCTGGTTTTATTGCCGTCCAGCCCCTTTTTTTAACGACTTTTTTAAAGCCTTTTATCTTTTTTGAAACACCTATTCCCGTGCTTTTTCGACTTCGTCGTACTATCCTCCACCTTCCCTTTCATTTTGATAACCTGGATGACTGAAAACTATCGTGCATTTAGGCTTCGAAAGCAACCTACAAAACTAACATGAATGAAACATAGCATTCTGACGTGCAACAAACTACCATAAATGAAAACGGTGAGGCGTGTAACAAAAAACAGTATGCCGAATGTTTGACTGTCGACCAAAGTGAGGAACAAGTAGCTAATACGAGACGGCGTGAGCTTCAAGTAAAGTCTTACACACTCGCCAATGCTCCACACATTTGCCCTACCGAGCTCTTAAGCTTTGGCGGCACCAGTCACCTGGGCCATTTAAAAGTTAACTGATTCCGCGCTACACTATGAACTACTTGTTTAGTGCCAACTCCCTCCGCACATTGGAAATGCGCCCACTACCCAATTCCTGCGCCCACTGAGACAACATCATCAGTCATATGATGACTACCACACTACCAATGTCTTAACACACGAAATACTATATATGTTCATATGATTACTAAGATAAGCGGAAAGGAATAAGTAATGAATAACTACGAAAATGCAGTAACAAATAAATAAAGACAATATATACAAAACCTCCTGGAACCTACGTGCAGTACGGTTCCATGCCCAATCTCATGGCAGGCAACCTGTGGCTTCCAACCTACTACGTTACTTTGGCCTCCAATTGTATTTACGATTAGTTCACTGTCGCTCCATCGGCACCGAACGATGGGTAAAAGAAGTAAAAGTGCGACGAGAGGAGCTGAAGCTGCGACTGAAGGCGAGGCGACAGCTGAAGACTAACATCACGACGACATGACGGCTGACAGTGATGAAAAATGATGACGCAATAATTTGGACAGAGTCATTGGTAAGCATAGTCACATGACACCCCTTCGTACGTTGCCG